CTTCCTTGTGCGGTTGGCTAGCATTGGTTTGCTTCGACTTGACCATTTGCATATCGTACTTGAGCCGCTTGGAGCTTTCGAACAAGTGCAGGATGCTCTCTGCGTTGTGCCAGTATTCCGCCAGCGCGCGGAGGGATACGAGCGTGGAGTCAAATCGGCGCAGGGCATTGATTGCAAGCACCGGGTTGGAAAAGCGCAATTCCACTCTGATCTGGATCATGGCTGTGAACAGCGTGTTAACGGCGGACGACCACAGATACTTGACGCGGTCCTTTTCGCGGAGCTCCTCAAAGATAGACACAATCACTCCTGCGGCGGCACTGCATATCTCTGCGTCGTTGTGAGCGTAGGAGTCTGCTGAGGCGCGCGGGTGAGGACGGTGCAGCAGGATGAGGAAGTTGTTGTATGTGAGATGGAGCAGGGCGGGCCAGGCGTGCATGTCCGAGGTGGACATGCGAACCGTATCAGGCAACTTGATAGACCAGTTTGCCAATGCCTTGTCAGCTTCGGAGAGGATGCTCTTGCGCCGTTCGGGGGCAATGCGCAGACCAAAGCGCTCGCGGACAATGAAGGATATCATACAGCACAGCTCGGTGAATTGTATCACGTAGTCCTTTTGGATGTTGTTGCCGCAACCCTCGAAGTCTGCCTCCCTCAACGGCTCGACGTCGCAGTCGTCCAGGTTGATGGCCTGCGGACGGCCGTACTGCAGGGAGACCATGACATCAAACTGGACAAGAATCCACCATGCTCTGCGCCACATCCGTTTGTCGTGAGGAACGAATATGCTGGACCCGGAGTTCCGGTGCATCCCTAGCCCCGTAGCTATCCTTGCGGCGACGCCTACCCAGTAATGAGCGTTCGCGGCGACGTCGTCGTCCACCGGGTCCGAATACCAGGTAAGCAGGAGGGCTGCCTGGACCATGATATCCCTGTTCCGCTCCACCCTGGCCTCGAAAAGGAGCTTCGCTCGCCGAAAGAAGGCCGCCTTGAGGGTGTCTCGCATTGGTCGAGGGCGGGAGACGTGCGCGCCGGCAAGCAGGACAGCCTGGAGAATCAAAAGGGAGGGAGCATCAGAGGAGTCCCACCCCTTGTACTGAGCCATGAAGATGTCCTCTGCCAGGATGGGGAAACCGGGATTGACATGCTGAAATAGGCGTCGA